AGAGCTAGCTATCAGTGCCATTTATCAGGTACACCGTTTTAGTATAAACTTGTTTAAAACCGAGTAGAGCCTCTTTTTCATCTTAATTAGACAATAACTCATTGATTCTAAGTGGGCCTTCATTTTCTAATTATTTAGTACATAATATAATGTCATTAAACATCTTTGAGTGGACAAGATTGCTCTAAAAGCTTCAGCTCCAGAGCTCCAATATTAGGCTTTTGGCAATCATCCCTGTGTGTGAAAAGCAGTCAGTTTGTTTACCAGGAATTTAGATTCACATTACTGGGGGAATTAGCAGTGAGCTATTAGTCTGATACAAGCACTTAACAATAGCTGATCATCTCCTCCTAGCTTGCAGATAATGGAGGTGATCAGCTGTAAATGGAAAGAATGTAGGGCTATTTTCATGAAGGCACTTGGAGAAAGTGCTGTATCCTGTGACCTCTGCTAACCCTACGGTTTGCAAGAAATCCAAACGCCAAATCACTTCCTGGAGTAGAGCTAATCAACCACAAGAAGAGCTTCCATTAGAGGCAAAACCAAGCTCAAACGGCCTTCCCTCATCTGAAAAAAGGTTCAGCCACAAAGTCCCTGAGGTAGGGGTGATTAGCCCCTGATCATATTTACCAGTACACATTTTGATGGAGGAAGCAACTGTAGAGCAGCAGCTGGTTCTCATTCCATAGCAGTACTGCATGACTATCACGCTTAGTATCGTACACTGGCTTCCTGTTTCGCTGTTGTCGTGGAATCATAGAATGGCCTGGGTTGAAAAGGATCACAGTGGTCATCTAGTTTTATCCCCCTGCTATGTGCAGGTCACCAACCAGCAGCCCAGGCTGCCCAGAGCCACATCCAGCCTGGCCTTCAATGCCTGCAGGGATGGGGCATCCACAGCCTCCTTGGGCAACCTGTTCCAGTGCCTCACCACCCTCTGTGAGAAACTTCCTCTTCATATCCAACCTAAACCTCCCCTGTCCCAGTTTAAAGCCATTCCCCCTTGTCCTATCACCATCCACCCTTGTGAACAGCCGTTTCCCCCTCCTGTTTGTATGCTCCCTTCAAGTACTGGAAGGCCACAATGAGGTCTCCCCAGAGCCTTCTCTTCTCCAGGCTAAACAATCCCAGTTCCCTCAACCTTTCTTCATAGGAGAGGTGCTCCAGCCCTCTGATCATCTTAATGTCCTCCTCTGGACCCGCTCCAAAAGCTCTACAGGTAATGTTACCTTCCATTTTAGCAAAGTATATTTTTATGATGTATTGAGATGCCTTCACTCTTTGTGGCTGCGGAACCGGTAGTGTTGTCGTGTAAATGTGAAGTTGCCATTTATTATCAGCAGGCTTTGAGAGGCATGCCAAGCATTACATTTTTGAAGTAAAACTTAGTTTTTCCCATATCTATGATACAGATTGTGTCCCCTTTAAAAAGACCACAGCCACTTCATCCTTCCTGAAACATAAGCATTTGCTGTGGGAAGTAGGAATGATTTTAATAAGACAAGGGCATGGTAGTTTGGGGATTTGGAATTTAAGGCTTATTTCTTGCATCACCTTGCTTGTGACTTTTGGCAGGAAATGTCTGTCAGTTCTATCACTTGTCAGATAAGATCAACTCATAGTGACTGAGCTCACTGCTCAAAAAGAGCTATGTTACAGCTCTCAGTAAATGCTGTGGTAGGCCATGTTAAGAAATCTAAAGCTGTGTCAGATTTCTAGATGCCATGTCTGAAATCTGACAGTGATTTCTGTATAAGTTACTGTTGACATTACTTTGTAAGAGATTTCTTTCCCATAATGCATCCAGCAGGAGGACACAAACACTGCAGCTTCTACTAAATGCACAGGATGGCAGAATACTTCTAAAATTGCAAGATACATTTTATTAGCAAGTCTTGGTATTATTTCACACTCTTAAAAATAATTTACATTACAACAAGTAGAAGGATTCTTCCTTTTGTATGCTTGCTGAGATGTCAATGTTAAGACTATGAGAACAGAGCATTTCTATTATGTTATTTTTGTGTTTAGATCAAAGGTGCTTGCAGGATGTTGTATCCCAGTTTCTAGTGAATAAACACTGAGGTTTTTATGTTTTATTCTTGTATTTTGTAACTTGCCTTGCAGTACAGATAGTAGGAAGTGTTCTGAAAGGGCTGCAGTGCTAGCAGAACTGGACAGTTACTGACATGACATTTAGTAGTAGTTGTGCATGCACGTATCTGTGACATTGAGCAGCTCTGGTATCTGGAGGTTATGTGCTACAAAAATCTAAATGAAAACGGATTTGTATACACATCAGAGTGAGTACCTACCAATGCAGGTGTATTTAGAGGTGATTTTTGCTTCCAGTTATTGATGAACAATTGTAAGAGGCAGCTGTCTATATAAAAGTGTTTATGAACGTGAAAAAGGGACATTTGAAGAAAATGTTGTGTTCTGTTTAATTTCTGTCTAGAGCAGGATTTTGTCAGACTGTAAAGCATTTTCCTGTGTAATCCAGGACATGACTAGAGGCTGCAATTGCAATCAATAACCTTGTTAGTAGGGGCAAGGGGACTAGAAGTTCACAGTATGATGAATATGAACAACAAAATAATAACAGCTTTTCCCATATCAACCTGACTTAGAGCACTCAAGTGGAACGAGGAAAGTTCACAATGCAGATGAATAGAAGATGGATGCTGCTCCTGGAAAGCTATTCCATCTTTCTTATAAATCTTCACACTGACTTGTGAAATACTGTAAAGAATATTTTTCTCTTCCCTGTCATTCACAAGTAATCCCTGGAGATGACAGAACACACCCTACAGTTCCAGCCTCACCATACGAAGGATGGCCAAATGTAGATCTCAGAGTCCTATAATAACACGGGCAGTTTTCATTAAAGAGAGGTAGCAAACATGGAAACAATGCTATCTCTTCAATCACATAGTCATGTTTCAGTAGTTTCAGTAGATGGTGGGAAGTACCAGCATTCTGACTCCTCTTAGTTAAGATCATAGAATCACCAAGGTTGAAAAAGACCTCCAAGATCATCTGGTCCAACTGTCCACCCACCTCCAATATATCCCCACTAAACCATGTCCCGTAGTGCAACATCTAAACCTTTTTTGAACACCTCCAGAGACAGTGACTCAACCACCTCCCTCGGTAGCCCATTCCAGTGGCTGACCATCCTTTCAGGGAATAAATTTTTCCTAACATCTAGCCTGAATCTCCCCTGGTGCAACTGGAAGCCATTCTCTCTAGTCTTATCGCTAGTTATGCAGAAGAGGCTCATTCCCACTGCACCACAACCTCCTTTCAGGTAGTTGTAGAGAGCTAAAGGTCCCTCCTAAGCCTCCTCTTCTCTCAAGATGACATGATACTTGTTCCTTTTGCATGAAAATGCGGTGTTGCTTCTCTGTGCATCAGAGGGACAGCTTCTATTGCATGCAATCATTTCCCTGTCCTAGCTGCCCAAGGAGATAAGAGGAGGCCAGAATTTGAAATGGCAATGTTACCCCTGCAGAGAAGGACAGCTACACTGAGGTATATGCAGTAATGGAAGATTTTCTAGTAAGAAGGGTCTGACAGTGACTGGGAACCAAAACATATTACCTAGTTGGTACCTTCGTCAGGTACAGGTAAAACACAGGATAAAAGAAATAGCCACTTGTTCTGCATCTATTCTGGACTGTAATATTCTAGCATTAGGTGGAATGGTTGGTGGCCCTGCATGTGGCAGGGGGGTTGGAGATTCATGATCCTTGAGGTCCCTTCCAACCCTGCCAATTCTGTGATTCTGTGATATTGCTCAGCTGTGCATAATATTGTCCAGATCTGTTGTATTTCATAGAATAAACAAGAGGCATTATACATCTGTATGGAGAAGCTGCTTTAAGCTGAGTTTCTAGCTATCCTGAAAGTGTGGGTTGGCTGATGAGGCAACTCTTGCACACAATTGATTGTAGACTATTAACCTATGCTCAAAAATCAATATTCACTTAACACCACATTCTAACAGGCCAACGTAGCATAAAATAACAGCAGTTACACAATGCACATGTTTACATTCAGAATAAACAGATCATGAAATAGAACTTGGCAGAGGAAGAGACTGGCAGGATTGAAAGGGGAAAATGGCAACTTCAGTGTGTGGAGAGGTACAAACTAGTTCCAGCTCCTGGAAGCTTTTGCAACTGAATGACCCAGGGAATCTGTGGTGAATAGAGCATCACCTTCCCCAGGCATTCCTAAAAACCTTTGGCCTGAGGCCTGGTAACGTCATCCCTGGCTAGGTAAATTTACTAGGGTTGAGTACAGGAATCCCTACTATTCCACAAAACACAGATCTGTTGCTATCCATGATAAAGGATGATACATATAGTTACAAAGGACAAAACAGAACGGAGTAAAAAGGTAAACTAGAGTATAGTGTCTTCAATCTGGAATGGTATTTTTCATATATTTAAAAGAATGAATTGAAAAAAAAAAAAAAAAAGGAACTGAAAGTAATTGAGAACTGGTGTTTTACAGGGATTTTAAGTTCATGCTTACTTAGCTTTACTTGTAACCACCCTGCAGTGAGGGCTCTTAATCTTCATCGTACAATCACCAGCATTGGGAAGGACCTCCAAGATCCTCTAATCCAACCATCCACCCACCTCCAATACTTCCCCACTAAACCACGTCCCATAGTATGACATCTAAACCTTTCTTGAACATCTCCAGGAATGGTGACTCAACCACCTCCCTGGGCAGCCCATTCCAGTGGCATACCAAGCTTTCAGAGAAGAAATTTTTCCAAATATCCAACCTGAGCCTCCCCTCGTGCAACTGGAGGCCATTCCCTCTAATCCCATCACTACTTAGGCAGGAGAAGAGGCTGACCCTCACCTCACCACAACCTCTTTTCAGGTAGTTGTAGAGGGCGATAAGATTTCCCCTGAGCCTCCTCTTTTCCAGACTGAACAATCCCAGTTCCTTCAGCTGTTCCTCACAAGACTTGTGCTCCAGACATTTTACCAGCTTCGCTGCCCTCCTCTGGACACACTCCAAGGCCTCGATGTCTTTCCTGTAGTGAATGGCCAAAAACTGAACACGGTACCTAAGGTGCAGCTTCACCAGAGCTGAATACAGGGCATATCACTTCTCTGCCCCTGTTGGCAATGCTATTTCTTATACTAGCCAGGACGCCATTGGTCTTCTTGGCTGCCTGGGCATACTGCTGGCTCATGTTTAGCCAAGCATCCATCAACACCCCCAGATCCATTTCTTCCAGGCAGTCTTCCAGCCCCAGGCCTGTAGTGTTACCTGGGGTTGTTGTGGCCAAAGTGCAGGACCTGACACTTAAGAATGGTATGTTGTACTCTATGCCTATGGAAGAGCTCAGACAGGTAGGGTGGTAGGAAACAGTGTCATGTGCATCCCTCTAGTTAGAAACAGAACCCCACACAAGTTCTGACAGAATGCAGACTTGTTTTAAAATACTGTGGTTGAATATGAGCCTGACTGTCACTCAAAATGCTAAGTGTGGCAGAAGCAATGGTGGGCACCAAATCTGCATCTCAGAGCAGACTGACTGGAGGAAAGAGGGGCACAAGTCAGGGAGAGGTTTTCGGTGACTGCAGTTATCTAAGGCTGTTCCCTTGCTCTTTTATAGAGGCCTTTTGTTTCTTGAGGGTAAATCAGTAGTGGGAGGTGCCTGGATATGGGATAAGATTAATAATATGGGAAGGAAAGATGTCACTTATGCCAAGTTAAAGTGGGCTCAGCAACAGGGGAAGGAATAGAGACAGAGATGGCCAAGAAATAGCAGCTCCAGAATATACAGAGGAGGCCATAGGCAAACTGCTGTGTTCAGAGGTGTCTTGCTGTGTCTTCACTTCAGCCACCTAGGAAATGAAAAGGAGGAATGAATCCCAGTTAGTTCCCATTTGTGCTCAAACATGAATAGCAGAAGGGCCTCAAGCTCTGGACACTGATATGAGACTGTAAGAAAACTTCTGCAGCCAGGCAGCATGGCCTCCAATTTCTGCTTGTCTGTGGAAGGAATATCTGCATCAAAGCAGTCTATGTTTCTGCATGCACATGGCATCCCTCACTTTGATGTCCAAAATCACACATTTCCAGGTACAGGGTTTTTGAACTGCTGTCTCTAGGCCACTTGACCTGATACTAGAGGCAAAAAAACAATGCATACCTGGGACATTTCTGAAGCAAGAGATGTGCTGGCACTGTCTCCTTGGAAATTTAGGGAAGATGAATAGTATAAGTCTTTTTGTCTTTCCAGACCTGTCAGCTTCTGGTGCATTTGAGACCAAATAGCATTTTCTGCAAACAGAAGCAAAGCAAGAGTCTTACTGTGTTTTTCTTGTAATATGTAGTATCTCAGGTGGGATATTCAGGTTGTAGGTGTATCTATAGTGCTGTGTGTGAGGCTTTTTGGTACAGCAGTAGGTAATTTAAATATTAATCTTTTATCTAAAGATGGTTGATTTGTTTGATATACTTCAGAACCTCTTACAAAACAGGAAATATTCAAATCTTATTGAGGCCTGTTGCTAATATGCTAAGGAGCATAAAAGAAATACAACTTCAGATTATAAACATCATAGAATATCCCGAGTTGGAAGGAACCCACAAGGACCATCGAGAACACCTCCTGGCTCCACACAGGAAATATTTGGACATAGCCTGATTTTTGGAATATCTATGTTGCTGAATCTACAAGCTCCTGACAAGGACTGTGTCAGGAGCTACTCATCTTGGCAAAATAAGGGCCAAAGACAAGCACGGGACGATCAGAAAGCTGGAGCACCTCTCCTATGAAGATGGGCTGACTTGTTCAGTCTGGAGAAGAGAAGGCTCACTACAGCCTTCCAGTATTTAAAGGAGATTATAATCAGGAAGGAAAACAACTTTTTAGACAGGTAGATAGTGATAGGACAAGAGGAAATGGCTTTAAACTGAAGGAGGGGAGATTTAGATTAGATGTTGGGGAAGTTTTTCGCTGACAGGGCGGTGAAGTGCTGGAACAGGCTGCCCAGAGAGGTTGTGGATGTCTCATCCCTGGACATGTTCACGGCCAGGTTAGATGGGGCCCTGGGCAACCTGATCTAGTGCTTGATCTAGCGATTGGCAAAGATCATTGGCAAAGATGATCTTTGAGGTCCCTTCCAACCCAAGCAGATCTATGACCCTATGAAAGGACCGAGAGTGCAAACCAAACCACCATAATCCTGGTGCATTGATGCAGCGACACAGCAACATATGGATACAGCATGTCTGACCTCCCCATTGTGTTGCTTTTTTGCAACCCCTTCATTTGAATGCTGTTTGTAGATAGCTTCATAGTGTTTGAGATGAACAGAAGTGTTGGTAAAAATATAGAAACACTTCCAAAAGCAGATCCATGCTAGTCCTGGAGGTTTGCTAGGAGAGCATTGAAATGCTGCAGAAGACAGAAGTGTATGCTAGAGCAATGCAGCGTAAGATCTTGAAATCAACAGGCTTTGAACTTCCCCGTGCTGAGTTGTTTGCCGAGTTCTCCGACATATTGCTTACCAAGGCATTTGTTGCTCTCAAACATGCCAAGTATCTGGTCACACTTCTCCTTCTGGTTGCCACTGCTTTCACAGGTACACCACAGGGAGACCTCCACGCTGGAGTTACTGATGTAGTTGGGTGTCATAGGTGTGCCTGTCCCAAGCCCCCAGAAATGGGAATCAGGATTTACTTCATCAAATGAAAGAAGCGTGATGAGTCCCCTTATCCTCAAGGCAATGCTGCCTTGGAGGCAAAAGCCTTCCATTACTCCAAAGTCACCTTGCAGAGCCCCTGGTAAGCACATACATGCAGTCTGCTGCTCTGTCAGAAAGGGTGGAGATTGCTACCCCTGACTCAGTCAATCTGATGATGAAGCACACTGATAACCGAACTTTGTGCAAACATTAGATTGAAGGATATGAAGCATCTGCAGATTCAATGGCAGTACTGGCACATGGCTCTCCCAACATTCATGAAGCTGGCAGCACTCCGTGGCCAAATGCTTTTTTTGCCAAGTAAGTGCTGCACACCTGTAGTGTGCCATTCAGAGCACTGAGCTTATTTGGCATGAAAACAGCAAAGACATCTGGAAAACCAGAAGATATGGTCTAGAATTACAGCTTCTGAGATACTACTGCATTTTGTAGCTCCTTTGAGCCACTCTGAAAAAGTAAAAGCAAATTGGCAGTGAATACCTGTAACTAAAGACAACCTTCCATTCAACAGCTGGTAGTGCCTTGTGTTACTGTTGTTCTGACTGGCTCTGAGAAGACAGTGCATACACAGTGTTAAACCAGCATGAGTCTAAACATCAAGCAACAAGGGAATGTCAGTTTTAACAATGATCTTACAGCTGGATTCTGCTGTGACTGTGATAGCTCCAGCAGCAGGAATAACTTAATCCATACAAGCTGACAGAGATTCTGCGGAGGGGTATTTAGAGCACCTTGCATGAACTGGTGATGCAAACAGGAATGCAAGAATCCCAGGCAAGTGCTGCTGCTTTGCCAGCAGAAGATGGGACAAAGCAGAGTGATAAATGCCACGAAGGAGCTCTCTTTGTGCTGCATTTACCTCAGAAACAAGTGGAAGCACTAGCATCCATTAGGCTAAGGCATGTTCACTGGCATGCTGAGCACTATCACCTGCAGCAAAGCAAGACAGACCCTCCCAGCATAACAGTGTGGCTACAATTTGTTGCCTGAAGATAACCCTTTATGTTCCTGAGGGCATCACTTACCAATCATCCCCATGTAAGCCTGCAGGCATGCAGCCTGGTTGTGCTGAGAGCAACCATCTGGGGACGTATCTGCAGGTTGGCAGTTTTGTTGGAAATCAGCCAGTCGGGATCTATAGGAATGAAAACGAGACTGTCAGTGTCTGTGTCTCTTTTGGTGGCTGGTGCCTGCTGCTGCCGGACCTACTTGCAGATATGGTCTTCCAAGCAGGAGTCCAGAAGCCAAAGGCAATTGGGTTTGGTGCTATACTGAAAGGAACAATCAGGAACAATAGTTTTCCGGCGTCGTTCTCCACAGAGTTCATCCTGACATGGACAGAATAGGATCCTTCTAGTGAAATCCTCAGGGACTTTCTCAAAGAAATTTCTTAGCCCTCGATGGCATTTGCGACGGTCACACATGTCCTCACTTCCTGCCCCTCTGGTGCAGATTGAGGCATAGTCTGTGCGCAGCCGAACACACTTCTTGCTCAGATTACAAACATGAGTTGCTTTCAGGCATGGGTTTGTTGCATCTCCTGCTAACTGAGAGCCTATGAAGCAAAAATAAATCTGTAAACAAAGAAGCAAATCTCCAGAAGAAACTTCATATAGAAATAAGAGTAACCCTTACTTGACGGAGAAATTGGGAGACATCAAAATGAACAAAGTCCTGCTATATGCTTGTAGTAAGACATTACAGTGATGCTAGTTACAAAATCACATATTTTATTGGTTCATGTTAGGATGTTTTTTTCAGAGAATACGTCATTGTGAGTTATTCCCTCTTTCATGGGCCTAGGTCCGTAATTGTATTTACATTTAAGTACAAATACAGGCAGGTATCCAGAGCAGGCATTCATCTGATTAAAAGGACAATCACCTCAAATCGTTATTATTAATGATTTTTAGCCCCTGAAAAGTTAAGAATGGTAAAGAATTGTATCATGTAGCTGTTACAAACTATTACCTGATACCAGAGCTGCCAGTTCATTATAATCTGTTTTCCAGTGCTCTTCAATTGCTGGATTCTCATAGGGAGAGGTTTCCAAATTGAAATAACCTGGGCAAGACACAAGGTGTTTTATGCAATGAGAGACGTGCCAGCTTTTTTTTTTTTTTTTTCCTTTTTTTTCTTATTTGCATTTCTTCAGGCTGGAGTTCAGAGGTGCTCTGTTCTGTTGAAAGCCAAATGCCAAGAATGGTTCTGCTGGAGATGCAAAGGTGTGATTGTGTAGCAACAGCATTACATTCTGTCATTAGATTTCCTCTGGCTGGAATTTGGCCTATGTTGAAATTAGCTTTCTGTCAGCCTCAGTGCTAAGGAGTTGTGCAGGACAGGTAGTTCCTGGTGGCAGGCCATTAGAAGCATCCCAGTAAAGCTGGAGAGAAGCAAAATGCTGCTCATGGATGCCATTACAGTGTGTGACAAACTCATATCCATTTTCAGTGATAGATGTAAACATTTTGAAATGATTTTCATAGGACTACAGTTAAGTAATTGTCTCAAAGTTGCTACCTTTGTTTGTCGGACTTCCTGGTGTATTTGAGGGGCAAGTCTCAAAAACCAAGATTGGTTTTCCATGCATACCATACAGAGCAGTAATGACCAGGAGACCAAAGGGGTTCCTTCAGTACTGGGAAGCGGCCCTTCACCAGTGCTTTCAGGTGGGAGGGGCAGTGTTGAGCCTTACTAGTACCTTCTACATTTGTATTATTTTAGCTCACCATCTGTCATGCTGGAGTGAACGGTCCAGAAAATGCGCAGGCAATGCTCCTGTCTCTTCATGCGCCGATGGCACTTGCAGTGCAGTAAAGAGCTGTTCCCGAGGTATAGCTCTGCATTCAGACATCTGACCCTGCTATCATGATCCAGCGCGACAAAGCGTGTCTTAGCAAGGTCACAGTTTTCCAGAGTCCTGTAGGTGGCATTGCAGATGGAGTCTAAGAGGCACAGCTGTTCTGCTACTATGCAGTCACTCCGTGGTAGAGCCAGGAAGTCTCCTGGTAAAGAAGGGAAAAGATTGTTAGGATTTCAGTCATGGTAAGTGCCACACAAGCACCTTGTCATTGTTTTGTAGGCATCCTCAGTAAGAACTCAAGGAGCAGAACTGGCTAGGGACCTTCATATTGGAGCAGTACGGAGCAAGAGCTCTCTCCATTTAGAAACAAAAGAATGACTATTAGTGTGTGAAAGAGAGAACAAAAGATTAATGATAAATCTCCAACATGATTTTGTTTATTAACATCCCCTTCCCTTTTCTTTAAAACTACCTTTAACTCTTTCAGCTTGGCTGGGATCAGGGGTGCTCTCTATTTTCCTACAGCAGTAAATCTCTAAGGAAACTTTGGCTTTGCTGAGGCCTTCTTTGAAGAAGCTCTCCTATCTGGGTAATAAGAAGCTTAGTGCAGTAAGCAGTACTAACACCACACTGTGGTTAGTCAGTGCTGCTGCTGTTGCTAAGTACACAGGCCACTCTGAAAGTAATGACTCCTATTTATTTCCGATGCAACTACAACAGATACAAAGAGCACAATAACACTATTTGACAGAGCAAATTCTCAGCTACAAAACACTATTTTTCAACACAATCACCACCATTAGCTGTGCATTTTCATCAGTGATGAACAAGAGCTGATTTGTTGTGCTCATAAAAGTCTGCATCATGGAAAGGTGCCCCACTATCACCACTGCTGAAACGCACCACTCTCTCCTTACTGTGCTGATGTTCAGCAAGCATCAGTTAAAGTCTATGGGTGCAATGTTTTCCACATGGGGGAATTCAATTCCACACCTTTGCTTCGTATATGCTTCCATGTCAGAGACCATTTGGTCAGACTGCCCCTCTACTGCCATCTGTCACATGGCAACAAAATGTAATGCACTCTTGGTGGGAAGGTTCATCCACTGCTGCCATACTGCCAACATCTGCCTCTGACATTGTGGGCCAACATCATCAAATAGGAGGCATGACTTTTGGAGCAACCCTTGTATATACCGGTAATTAAGAGCTGCACCAAGAAAGCCATGTGCCCAGTGTAAAAGCAACTAATTTGTTAAGTTTGGAAACTTAATAACAACTATACTTTTTTTTTTGCACAATAGAAGATACCTTTCATGTTAAACACAATTCAGTATGTAATCTTTCTTCGTTTCTGTATATGGATCTGTGTTTACGCTACAAGCACAGTGCGGCACAGAACGGTTTGGACTAGAAGAGACATTAAGGATCATCTGGGTCCAACTTCTATGCCACAGGCTGAGATACCTTCCACTAGAGCACATTGTTCAAAGCTCCACCCAACTTGGCCTTGTAAAGACTTGGAACAAGAACTGCTAATAGAATTTATACGTAAGCTAGTAGTATGTTTACTCCTTTCAGGACAAAACTGCACTCAACCTAGCATCTACCTTCAGCGCTTTTTGGAGGCATGATCTCATCTGTCATTCTCTTGTTCAGCATGTGCTGTAGTACTATTTCTGTCTGTCTTCACTGAGGACTAGAATAAAAAATCTCAGTGCAGCTTTTATTATCTGGTATACTATCTGTCTGATTTGTTTTCTCACTTCCTTCACTTCTACTGGCTTTATCCGTTTATTTGCCGTATAATTCCACACTAGTCTGATTCTCAAGCTTCCTATTCTGCCTTCAGCCCAGTAATGCTGCCTTACGCGTCTCCGTCCCATTCATTTACATTTCCTGGCTTTCCTACCAACTTCTTTGTTGTTCATCTGGCTGTTATATCAAGACTACATGAGTTGGTAAGCTCCCTGAAAGACAGATCTCTCACCAGAAATGCTTTGTACCAGCACAGTTGGCTTTGGTTAGACATTCCATCTTGGAACAACATTAATGAACACACGGGGTGTGATTACATTCTGTAAGGCTGCAAACAGTGCAAAGATCCAGTAGCAATTTTCCAACTTAAATGATTCTATGATTCTGCTACCTCCAGTAGGTTCTGGAATTCTAAGCTGAGCAAACTGGCATACCTCACAAAGCCAGAGCAGAGTGCCACTGCCCTCAGTGGCCGCAGCAGCTGTTGTAGTAAGTTCATGAAAGGACAGGACACACTGCTAGCCTTATGAGCGCTGCTCAAAATTCACTATAGCTTGAAGTGACATTTTCAAAACTTTACAATATCATAATTGACAGGGCAGGGCAGAGCTGAGTGTGAAGTGGATGGACTGTGTTTCTACTGCAGGCCTGTACCAGATGCTTTGGGAGAAGCTTCTGGAAGGAAGCATCAAAGCAGAAAAAGTTAGAGCAGTCCTCCTTAACTAACAGAATTTAATAGCTATGCAGCCTCAAGCCCTAGCGCATAAAGTTTCATTGAAAAAAAAAAAAGAGTTGTCTTAGTACTTATAATACCAGATAATCAGGTAAAATATCTGGTACTGTACTAGAAAGCTCTCTGGTCTGGTTGCAGAAAGCACTGAATGTGCATGTGTGTCAGAGCCCCTTTAGCTAAATGAAAAACAAAGTTATAATAATTACTTCACAAACAACGATTATTTACACCTTAATAAAACAAGGTGATAGTTAATATAATGCCCATTTCTTCTCACTTTTGAATCCATGCCCTGTCATATACCTATGAAATTACAATTAATGTTACCGTTATCGTAGTATCCCTTGTCATCCACACTATGTAAGAGAGGACAATTGCAGTAGGGAAACTTTTTATTTATTAAAAATAGATTTAAAACAAGCACCAGAATTTGGACAATGGAAAATTGTGGGAAATCTATTGTAGTCATGTGGCTGCAAATGCTACTGAGGTCTCAGTGCAACAGCTCATCTTTATAGGAGTCGTGATGTTGAGCAGTTGCTTTTTTTTTTTTTTTTTTTTTTTTTTTTTAATGTCAAGCACTGACATCTCATAAGTAGGGTCAGGTGCTTCGGAGCACTTTTGAAACTTCTGTATTTTTTGCCACTGCAACCATGAAGACTGCACGAGAGATGAAGTGAAAGGGGAATCATTTCTCCCCTCCAGATCTTGTGAGCTGGCAATACCAGAGCACAGCGTAAGACAAATAGTTGCATCTTTGCAGGAGCTTCCTGGATTGGTCTTTGCAAACCGAGCCTCATCAGAATATCAGCCTGAAGCGATTCAGAGGGGGAGTACATGGAAGATGGGTTAAAAAAAAACAAACAGCTTTCGGCAGATATCTCAGATTCCGCGTCTCCTCCAAAAGCTAGAACTGATGCTGTCTTTACGCCCGAAAGGGATGCTGTCTTTACGCCGCGCTGAGGGATCAGCTCCTGACATCGGTCCCTCCCTGTCGCGAGAGAGAGGAGCAAACCGCCCTCCTTTACCTCCGCGAGCTTTGCCTCGAGGAAATTCAATTCCCTTCCGCAGAGCATCCAGCCAGTTTGGTCACATCGACACTCGCAATTCGCAGCGCAGGTCAAAGCAGCAGCGCCCTTTCCTGTTTGAAATACAGTCCCTCCGCAGCAGAGCCGCTGCCGAGCAGCGGACGGGAGCACCGAGTGCGGGACGCACCCCGAGCTCCGCACAACCCAACCTCCCGGACGGGCGCCGAGCGGTGCCGAAACGTCCCCCCGAGCGCATTTTCTGCCGGGCGCCAGCAGCTGCTCGGGACGGCACGGCACGGCACGGCACGGCACGGCACGGCACGGCACGGCACGGCCGCCCGCAGCTTCTCGCCGCCCGCCGGCAGCGGGACGGGCACGCGCCGCCGCGACGCTCTTCCCCGCCAGCCCTCCCGCCCGCCGCCCCGCGCTGTTCGTTACCGGCTCGGGAGAGGAGCAGCCCCAGGAGGAGGGCTGGCCACATGCTGCAGCTCGGCGCCGGCGGCCGCTCGCTCCGGGCGCCGCAGCCGCCGCTCACATCCCGAACGCCGCCCGTCGGCGTGTGAGCGGCCGCAGCCCCGTCGAGGTGCAAACGGCGAGCGCCGCCCCGCGGAACGGCCCGCCTCCACAGCCGGCGGGGTGGGGGCGGAGGGCGGCGCGGCCGCCCCGAGGCGATGCGGGGCGCGGAGCCCCGCCGTGCCGGCGGTGAGGGAGCGCGCGCCCCGGCGAGTGAGCGTTTGGAAAGGGGCGCTTTGGAAAGGCGTCACGTAAAAATTCCGTTTGTTGGTTCGGTTATTGACTCGCGGTACGTCCTACCGCCGAGGGTAAGGCTGTGGATGCTCCTTCCCTCTGCGAGGAGCGCTCACAGGAGTCTGCTTTCTTAAAAGAAAGTGAACATTAACCGGAGGAGATGGTCTCGGAGGGGACAGATGCCGGCTAGTTCCGGATTCCCTCGATGCTTCTTTGGTCTGCCGAAGAGATGGCGTGAGCTTTTGGCTCCTTCCCACTGGCTTTGTTGTGAAGGGTCTTTTTTCAGCATCTTACAGTTGCGGGCTTGGCTTCTGTTCAGCTGTTTCATTGTGTCCCGTTCAGCAGGACACCTCTGGGAGCCTACTCAACATTTAGGCAGCCATGTTTCTTTTTGAACAAATCCTTCTTTTTAGTTTCCATACCAAGATCAAATTAACCAATGTGAAAAAAGTAACACGTACACATCATTACCCTATGAAAATAAGGTGAACTTTTGGCAGAACAGTTGTTTGTACAAGAGAGACCAACTCCATCTGTCCAAAAAGCCCAACAGAAAGGGTAATAACTGTGCAAACACATTAAGCATTCACAGTCCAACGGAGTGCTGCTCTCCTGCTCCCGGGTTTTGAAAAAGATTTGTCCTTCTGCTTACTGCTGTGAGAGAGTTGTTCTGGTTGTGAAGAAGTTGTCCACAAACACTGGAGGCTCTCACTTCTTGTTCAAGGAGAGAAAATGTCCTCACCATTCTTAAAGCCCTTACTGAAGTCTAATGGGTGGGGGAACTTAAGGCAAACGGTGGAGGGAATGCAGCCTTTTTAACTTTGAGGAGAATTGTTTCAGTCACTGTTCAGGGAGGACTGAAGAAAAACTTGGAGGAGACTTACTTATAAAAAGGTGTGAGGTTATGGCACCCAGATATCCCTCAGTGGAGGAGTACAAATGCTTCAGGAGGTTTGTGGCCAATGTTACTGCCTCTCTCAGTCCAGTTGAAGACAGTAGCCACAGGAGGGGAAGCTCTGCTAGACCGAATTGTAGCAGCAGGTATAACTTTGTGAAGATATGAATATAAAGGGTAATCGGGATGATAGTGATTACCAGCCTGTGATCTTTAGTCTGTTGTTTCTTTTACACTGTTTTTTTTGCTTCTTCTAAACAAAGACAGATTCCAGTAACTGATATATTCAGGGAACTGATATAAAGCAGCTCACAGGAGAAGAGAAACATCTTTGTACCTTGAAAAAGGAATTAATACAAACCATTAATCTTAACATCAAGCTCTGAGAAAATTCTGGCACATACAAACATTCTGCTAGCATGTGGGGGAAAAAACCAACAGGCTTCCTATTAGAATCCAAAGTGGATTCGTCAAGAACCAATATTTCTTCTGTAACAGAATAACAAGTTCTGTAGGGAAGAGAGAAAAGAAGAGCTCATCAGTACTGGGATCTTTAAGAACAGCTTTCAGCAGGTCAGTCTAACTGGGTACCAGAGGATAAATGAGAGAATCTTTAACAGTCCTTTCCAGCTCACTTTTCTGATCTTGTGATTTTAAATCTTCACCTAAATCCCACAGAAGTAATTCATTAACTCAAAACTGAGTTATTCTCTATAGTGGATAAAAATGGAAAAGGAAATATTTTCCCTCCATATTAAATGCATTTGCTGCAGCTGTGCTTTCAGGCTGCTTTGAAGAGTAGCCAAGCAGAGGAACTCTTGCTTAACATCTGATGAAGCGCTGACCACTTCACCAGCCAGCACACCAAACTACTGTGAGGGAAACATTCCTTTCTTGACTTCTGATTGCTCACATGTATTTTTCCCTAGGACCCATGACGTATAAGGTTATTTGTTTATTCTTCCCCATGCACACATACAGAGTAGCACTTTAACCTCATTACACATCTCAGAGAGTTGGATAATTACCAGCCTCTACATGACTAGTGCTTTCATCACTCTTTCTGTTTGTAGTTTTATAGGTTAACTCTGACCTATGGGAACCATCTACTAGTGTAATGTTTAATATCTTACAAATCAGTCTCTCTAATTCCCTGTCAGGTCCAGGCTTTTGACCTTCTTAAGCAGCTGTAGAAACTGATTAACACTGATCTGATTTCCTCAGCATTTAGCCTCAGTTCCATGTTTTGTTATCCGTTTTACTCTTTGTGGTTTCACATAGGTCTTGGCTGGACTGGGGTAAGTGAGGTCATCAAGTCCTGTAATGAAACAGACATGGCTGTGGAATATAGGAAGTAAATTCTTCTCAGATCTATGTCAATATCTTATCTTGCCCAGATTGAAAGCGTTAATCCTGTGCATGGTTTCAGGGTTGTATGGGGGTTAAACATATGCAGAAATTGGTCACCTTGTTCCTTTCCTTCTTGTCCTCATGGATTTGTTCTTAACATCTAGTCAGTGCCTCCTGCAGTAAGCACTGTTCTATTCATAGGGCTTTACCATCACTCAGGTACTTACTTTCAAACACAAGCTCTAGATAAACAAGCTCTAGATAACTGCTACTATTTACATATGGGATCGTGAGGAACAAATGTGCTCAAATTCATCAAGGAAGTCGATTTGCTTGTGAATTCTTTGAGTTCAGAGCTGCGCGGTCACACTTTTCATAGTCTAGAAAGCATTTGCACTCCAGCAACCAGTTGGAGGGTGTAATCTCTGCACGTATACTTACGATGGGATGTTATGACAAAAGAGCTGAAGGAAACATTCAGTAATGTCATGGTCAAGTAGGCACTGTTACTTTTCTACCAGAGGCGGTGTTATAATGAAAGCTGCATTCCCCTTCTTCTGAGCCCCAACCCCATGAAGATAGACTTCTGACTCCAGGAGAAAACCATTTCCTCAGCTTCTATTCTCAGAGGTAAATTATGCCCTTCCTGATGTGCATTGAGACTAAAGAGGACAGCATATACAAGCTGATCGGGCATCAGATTTGCATTGCCCATTTCATCATTATTTCATCCTCGGGGATGTTGTGTGGTTTTGATTGTTACACTGAAAATCATCAGCCAAAGAGAGCAACTGCTTTTACAGCAGTCAGGAACTCTCGCTACCCTGGTACACTACAGGCAGCAAAACTAATACGCGTTGTATTTCCTCTCCTCACCACCTCACCTTCCCTCTGGAATACAGCCTTACTTTGATTCTCATTTTTGTTTCATCATTCATGAGTATGGAGGATCCTCTGGTCTTTGCAGTGTAGATTACAATCCAACAGCCTCTAATGGAAAATATTAGCACCTAACCTTATGCAAAGGACATCTCAAACCACCTCAGTAGAAATAACTTTATTTCCTATATGCACATGAACACACAGTATCTCAGCTGCATTTTTCTATGACCCAACTGACTTACTGATAAGAAGTAGTAATGACTTCCCTAATATTTTGGTGGCAGCTATTAGAATAAATGGATTAGCATAAATGAACTCTATAAAAATAAATCGTAGTACCTACAACTTCATAGAAAAAAGACATTATTGAAGTTAGTTTACTGTTACGTTACTACTGAGAAATCAATATGCTGTTAACAGATTGCTAAACTGGGACATAGAGGAATGTCTACTGCAAGGTCATTCCATGAATCCCTGATAAGAGTTCACCATAAAAGCTAAGAATTTTGGACACAACTCCTTTTCTCTGAGGTGTCTATTTGCTTTTCGCTTCAATAGAATAGATGCTTACTGGCATACACATCACCTTGTTACATCTTCAAAGCTCCAACATGCTTTGGAGTAAAGGGGGGATATTTGACTAGCCGTTGATTTTAGAGTTCTGAGTGTCTACTCTGAGTGCTTGTCTACATGCTATCTGTGAGGCTGTGTGTACCACATGTGAGTAACCCAAAGACTTTTTATAGTGCATTCTCAATTGTCTTTGTCTAATACTGCATTTGCTTTCTTCTTTCTACAAGCAACAACTCTGAAAACTGGAATGTTTCAGCTTTCCCAATCCACCTGGCTCAGTATTGGATTGGAAGAGGAGAATTAAAAAAGCCTGGTGTGCTATGCCTTCACATACATAGTTGTGAGGTTGGCTAATAATGACAAGGTTGATGAACTCTATAACTATTGATTTGCAACTCTGACATACAGGTTGCCTACCTGTTGCTTTCGTGTTGAACAGTTCATAAAAAAAAAAACTTAGAGAAAGTCAATACCAGAGCACGTACAAAGGCCTTTTGTTGCATTTCCTGTGGCAACAATAACTTTGATGAGGGTCCTAATGGCAATGATTCAACTTAAGTTGAGCAGGATAGCCCTGATGAATGTCTGGTCATTGCAGTAGCTGTACAGCTCAGTTTCCATGCTTCTCCACATTTTAGCTGAGAAAAATCCAGCCAGACCTTTGTGATGTTCCTTGAAATTCATTTAAAAGATCTCAGTTCACCTTATTCATTCTGCTTTCAGCTTAGGAAGAACTAGGCACAGCACAAGAGCTCATCTTGTAGATTTGGATACATCTATGCTAATTCTAATTGTAGACTAAGTGTGGAATAGGGAATCCATTTATCATGCTGATGCCATCTTCTCATTGGTTGTTCCTCTCTTTGGTGGCTGGAAGATCCCTGGGGTATCTGTAAGAGTGTATTGTTTCACATTTCTTATCTGTTCAAATCAACAGCAATGGACCTGTCTTTTCTTTACTGGGGAGCCTTTCTGAATAAACCAAGAGCACAAATTCTTAGTTTCCTTCGGAAGTGACTATCTAGCACTGTACTGGAACATGCAGCAGTTTCAGTGATGTGCTAGCCATTTCTCCTCTGCATCTGGAACTGCCACTACCAATGAATGGTGAGACTGACTGAAGTATTTTGTTTGTTCTACGTGCTGAAGCGCAGTGTCTGATGCATGGACTGAGATGTGAATGATCCAGGTCTTTTATTATAAGTTCGCACATGACTTACATACATGTACAAGTTTCCTTTTTTTTAGCTTTCCCATCTGCCCTTACAACTTTTCCATCCACCTTTCCCTACCAACAGAGTGCACTCCTTAACTGTGGATGTGGGCACTTATCCAATCAGAGCCATCAGCCATTCCTTTTGTTTTTTCTCTTCTAGAGGTATCCTTGGTTCTCATGCTGTTTATCTTGCTCTACAGCTACTGCTCTGAATAGTTTTTCCTTGTATTCCCACACCAAAGTGCTTAACATATCTTATTTTGTGTAGTACTAATCTTCTGAAGATACACACTGGTGATTTCACTGCATCTTGCAAGATTTGATCACTGCAGTGCTTTTTTAGTCAGAACTAGAGCGTGTTACTTCACAGTACAGAAGATGCTGAGACTCCCAGAGCTGAACACCAGGCTGT